TCCTCCTCCTCCTCCTCCTCCTCCTCCTCCTCCTCCTCCTCCTCTTCCCTTATATAGTGGACACGCGAACAGCTATTTCGCGCAATTGTGGATTGTGTTGTCGGGGCGGCCCTCGGGAACATAAGAATGGGGCTCCAGGGCCATGGTGCTGAATTCTTCTCCTTTTTGCTGAACTCCTTGTCCTTATGTCTCGGTCTGCTTCCTGCTGCGAACATTCTCATCATGCTAATATGTTCGATTCCGTTTGTCAGACTTGTCCTACTTCTACGAATCCCATTTCTCTTCTGCTAAAGTCTCAGTGCTTAAGTTTTCATGCTTCTCCCAAATCCATTATAATTCCTTCACGTCCAGTTTTTTGTTCGTTATGTTAAAGTAGATTTGTTATTCGCAGTATTGGACTGATTATTGTTGTGCGCACTTTCCTCTCAAGTGTAAGCAATTCGAAAGCTATGTTTTGACACTGCTTCAACCAGTCGCGGTAAGCAGCGGTCGGGAGCCATCCCCCCAATTGTCGCCCGATGCCGAAACGCCGAATCTGAAAACGCTCACGAGCCCGAATCCCGAGAAAGTCTCGAGCGGGAACCTCGTCTCCGAGTCGATTGCGAGGATGTCTCGAGCGGGAGCCCTTTCCCTACGGGGTCCCACCCTTACGTTGGCAGTCCGAGGCGGCCATCGGTATACATGGTCAGCGGTTCGATTTGATGAGGTGGAACACCAGCTTCTTGTTGTGCAGGCTGATGCGCGCCAACTGGGGGGTGCAAAGATATGTATCTCCAAGAACTGAATATCACAGGGTCGTGGGCAAAGGCAAAGCGAGCTGGTCGGCGACGGCGTCGGCGTCGTGCTCGGCGTCGTTGTCGGCGTCGGCGTCGTCGTCGTCGGCGGCGTCGGCGTCATTCTCGTCGACGTCAACATCGGCGTTGTGCTCGGCGTCGTGCTCTTCGTCGGCGCTGGCGTCGTCGGCGTCGTGCTCGGCGTCGTGCTCAGCGTCGTCGTCGTCGGCGGCGTCGGCGGCGTCGTCGTCGTCGACGTCGGCATTGGCGTTGTGCTCGGCGTCGTGCTCGGCGTCGTGCTCTTCGTTGGCGTCGGTGTCGTCATCGTCGTCGGCATCGGCGACGGCGTCCGTGTCGGCGTCGTCGGCGCGTCCTCGTCATCGTTGTTGTCTTCACTGTCAGCGCCGCCGCTGTCGTGTCGTCGTCGTCGTCGTCCTCGTCGCTTTCCCCCCCCTGGGTTCGAACCCTGGGAGGAGAATTCACCCCCCCAGGATTTTTAGGGGGCATTTTTTCCAAGCAAGCGTCCGCGAAAAGCGCTCTCTCGATGATGATGTTGCTGCTGTTGCTGCTGCTGCTGATGATGATGGTGATGATGATGGTGATGGTCACGGTGATGATGATGCTGATGTTGTTGTTGATGGTGGTGATGATGATCATGATGATGGTAATGGTGGTTGTGGTGATGATGATGATGATGATGATGATGATAATGACGATGACGATGGTGACTGTGATGGTGATAATGGTGGGGATGATGATGGCGATGACGAACATCAGATGATGATGATGGTGATGATGGTGGTGGTGGTGATATTGATGACGATGACGATAACGATGACGACGACGATGATGATGCTGATCATGAAGATGATGCTGCTGATGGTGATGATGCTGAGGATGATGAATGTTTTTCGCTGTAGTAAGTACATTGTTTACATTATTAATAGTAGCCCTTTTATCGTCATCATCGCCATCATCATAACCGTTATTGTTGCTTTCATTGTCGTTATCATTTTGATGACGATGATGATGGTGATGATGTTGATTATGATAATGGTGATGCTGCTGATGATGATGATGATGATGGTATGATGATGATGATGGAGGTGGTGACGGTGATTATGATGATGATGGTGATGACGATGGTGATGATGATTACGGTGATGATGATAATTAGGATGATGATGATGATGATGATGATGATGATGATGATGATGATGGTGGTGGTGGTGGATGATGATGATGATGATGATGATGATGATGATGATGATGATGATGGTGATGAGGATCATGATGATTATGGTGATGCTGATGATGATGGTGATGATGATGACGCTTAAGTAAAAAGATGATGATGGTGGTGGTGATGATGACGACAGGGGCCTGAGGACGGACCTGCGCCCCCAGCGACGCCGCCCCCAGCGATGCCCGCCCCCGCCCAGGGCGAGTGGCTCGACCTCGCGGTGGAGTTCATCGCCGGCGGCATCAGCATGCACGCCCGGATGCGGCGGCCGCCTCCTGGGCAGCAGGACCCGTCCCTCTCCCGGCCTCTGACGAGCAGTCGAGGAGGAGGAGGAGGAGGAGGAGGAGGAGGAGGAGGAGTTTGGAGTCGAGGAGGACGGGGAGGAGGAGGAGGACGGAGGACGGAGTACGGAGGATGGAGTACGGAGTCGAGGAGGAGGAGGAGGAGGAGGAGGAGGAGGAGGAGGATGCTCTGCCGGGTTGTCGCGGAGCATTGCGCCTTCCTGGTGTGGTTCGTCGGCGTCAGAGGATGGCGTCGGGCGCGCGCGCACACATCCGCTGTCGGCTGCAGGAGGACGGACGAGGAAGGAGAAGAGATGGGGTGGAGGGGGGAGGCGAGAGGGGAAAAGAGGGTGGATAGTGGGGGGAGGTAAGTCGTGGAAGAGGAGGAGGGAGCAAGAGCCTCCCCTTCCATTCTCCTGGGGGGGATCGGGGACGCCCGCTGAAAAGGATCCCGAAACCTGGTGCCCTCACCCTGGCGGTCCAGGAACAGGCTGGAGAACCAGCGCCGGCACCGGAGACTTAGCACGGACGTGTCCTTGCTCTTCATCATCCTCCTCTCCTCCCTCCTCTCCTCCCTCTCCCTCCCTTCCCCCTCTCCCTCCCCCCATCCCTCCGTTCCCCTCCCCTCCCCGTTTCCCTCCCCCTCCTCTCTCTCATCCCTTCCCTCTCCTCCATTCCCTCTCCCTTCCCCTCCCCTCCCTCTCTCCTCCCTCTCTCATCCCTGTCTCCTCCCTGTCTCCTCCCTCTCTCTTCCCTTTTTCCCCCGTCCCTCCCCTCCTCCGTCCCCCATCGTGCTCAGGTCCCCTCTCCTTGATGCGCGTAGTACGACGGGTTTTGTCTGAGAGCCGCAGGCCAGCTCTGACTCTTGTCGGCGGATGGAGAAAGTTCAGCTCGATGGGGCGGGATGGGGCGGGATGGGTCGGGTGCCAGATACAGTCGGGGCGCTGAAGAAGGAACCCTTTTCGTTGGGGAGGGGCTCGATGTTCCTCAATTGTTCCACACCTTGCCTAAGGTCTCCCTTCAGTTTTCGATGGGAAGTCGAAGTTTAACTCACGAAAAACGGGGCCTCGTTCCTTATTTAGGGTCCCTTAGGTCAACGCCTCGACTGTATGGCGCGAGGGCACCTAGCTGCCCGCCCCCGCCACCTCCTCTCGTCCCCGCCGACGGCGGCGACGACGACGGCGACGACGACGACGGCGACGGCGACGGCGAACACGACGACGACGACGGCGACGGCGACGACGACGACGACGACGACGACGACGGCGACGGCGACGGCGACGACGACGACGACGGCCGCCCTCGCGGCCGTCTTGCGGCGGCCCCACCCTCTCTGGAGGATGCCGGCGCGGCGCCGGGGCCGCTGCCGGAGCGCCCCGGCTCGCCGGCGCGAATCCGCGGCGTGGACCGAGGCCGCGCTCTCGAAGCTCGTCCTCGTGGCGTTGGTGGTCGTCGGGGTCGCCGTCGGTGCGTGGTGGTGGTCGTCGTCGTGGCTTTCGGGGGCGCCGAGCGGCATAAAAAAAGATTGTGCCGCCGTCGGGGCGCCTGCCCCCCTGGGCGCTACAGAATGTATGCCCCTACGTGGCACCGTAGGTCCGTGTGTATGCATGCATGTATGTACTTATGTCTGTCTGTCTGTCTGTCTGTCTGTCCGTCTGTCTGTATGTCTGTCTGTCTGTCTGTCTGTCTGTCTGTCTGTATGCATGCATGCATGTGTATATGTATGTATGCATGTATGCATGTATGTATGTGTATATGCCTGTGTATGTGTGTACGTATGGATGTCTATCCAGATACACACATCTAGTGGCCGCCCGGGGGGGGCGGCGCCCCGACGGCGGAAGTGCTCCTCCTGCCTCGTCATTCGCCCGCTGCGCGGTGGCCGTGGGCACGCCCCCGACGACGACGTCGACGAAGGCCACGGCGCCGGCGCCGGCGGCGGCGGCGGTGCCGGTGGCGGACCGTGCCTCCAGACCTCCTGGCGTCGTGAAAAAATCACGACGGGAGGTTTTTCGCTATTTTCGGCCCCTGGAGGTCCTTACCGGGCCTCGGGAGCGGCAAAAAACGGCTCGGGACGAAGAGCCGGTCCCGGGGAAGGGGTCCAGACCTCTGGGGGTCGACGTCGTGAAAAAATCACGACGCCGGGGGTCTGGCTCCCCGGGCCCAGGGAGGAGCGGAGAGGGCGCCCAGCCCTCCGGAAAAAAATCCACCTGTGCCTGCTCCCGGTCTGCTCAGGCTTCCTGCTGCCCCTCCCTCCTCCTCCTCCTCCTCCTCTCCTACCTCCTCCTCATCTCCTCCTCCTCTCATATCCTCCCCTCATCCTCCTCCTCTCTCTCCAGCTCGGCGGCAGTGACCACTTCTTGGAGCTCGCTCTGCGGCGCTGCCTCGTCGCCGCCGGTCGTCACCGCATTCGGCGCGCGCCCCGTGGAGTTTCGGGGAGTCTTGGAGGAGAAGCAGGAGGAAGGAGGAGGAGCAGGAGGATGCGCAGGAGAGGAGGAGGAGGAGCGAGAAGGAGAAGGAGGAGCAGGAGGAGGAGGGAGGAGGAGGAGGGAGGGAGGAGGAGGGAGGGATGAGGGGAGGAGGAGGAGGAGGAGGAGCAGGAGGAGGAGCAGGAGGTTCTCGATCGCTGTCCTTGGCGCCCGGCGGAGTTCTCTCCAGCTTCGGGGTGCGCTCCGGCGGCCGCGCCCTGGCAAAAGAGGCGTC